TGCTCCAAGCCCTGTCCAGCCTGGCCTGGGACACTGCCAGGGATCCAGGGGCAGCCACAGCAAATCTGGGAATTCCCTCCCAGCCAGGAATTGCTTCCCAATATCCCATCCATCCCTGCCCTCTGCCAGTGGGAAGCCATTCCCTGTGTCCCACAGAATGATAATTTTGTCAGGCACATCTCCACACCTGCTCTCCTGCTTTCCCTGCCCTCTCATTTCCATCTTCTCAGCACAAAGCAGGCTGCACTTGGAATTTATTCTGCCTCAATAAACCACTAATCCTCCCTGCAGCACCAGCAGTGCCATTTGCAGAGTTTAATTCATTATTTCATTAACATGCAGTGATTTTCCAAAGAACAGGAACGGGATTCAGGCCTGCCAACGTGCATCTCAGAGGATTCCTCCTGCATTGTTTGCTTTCAGCAGCCGAGCTGGGATTCATTCCTAGCCCAGGGCACTGCCTCACAGCGCTGATTCCCGGGAAGTACACAGCCCAAGGAAGCTGGAACTCCCCCAGCTCCTGCTGGAACCCTTCCTGGGAACCACAGAGATTGGTAAAGAGTGTTCATTTCATCCTCCTGCTCGTGTGGGGAAGGTAATTGCAATTTATGAGGCAGAATAAATTCACCTAAACTCAGGGTGCTCCTTGTCAGGTCTACTTTCCTCCTTTGCCTAGCTAGAACTGAAAAGGGTTGAGAAAAGGATTGAGTTTGTGCTGCCTACAATGTTGGCCCCTTAAAACAATCTGGAACCTGTGCTGGGTCCCCTGTCCCTCCTCAGAGGAGACTGAAGCCCTGTCACCCTGAACTCAGTCATCCTTCACCCTCCCTGAGCTGACCCTGCTGCCCATCACCAGGAGGAGCAGGAGTGGAGAAAGGAGCCAGCTAAACCCAGCTTGATTCTGGGTTAACTTTGAGCCTGGTTCATTTCCCAGCCTGGGCTGGCTGCATGAGTACTCAGGGGAAACAGGGAGGTGAAGGATTGGAAACTTCTTGAGGGATCCACGTGGTTTTGGAGTCCCGTTGACATCAAGGTGTGAGAACTCCAGATTTTGGTTCCTCAGCAAATTCATATCCTGGTGGATTTTCATGCTGCTTTCTGAAGCCTAAATTATCACCTACAGAACACAATAAATGGAAGACCCCGATCTGCTCCTCAACACTGGCACAGCACCAAGGACAGAAAGATTTCTTTGCTTCCCTGAGGTCTGTAGGGTTTTTCCTCAGTAATTTAGTTGGGATTCCTGAGGATGGGAGGTGGTACAGCAGTCCCCACTGTTGTCCTGCCGGTGTGACAATGTGCAGCTCCTTAAAGAAGAACCTGGAAATTTATTTCCTTTTTCCCAGGTCTAATAAAATACAAAAGCACCTCAAGCTACAAAAGGCCCATTTTCCAGACTGAAAATCCTGGAGATGTCAGGGAAGACACCACTAATCCCAAGCATCTAATTTCCATTCACTTTCCTCTTTGAATCTGTTGTAACTTTAAAAGAACCCAAATTTTCTTCCTCTGAAGGTAACTCCATGAGATTCTTAACTGAGCTATGGTGAAGCAGTTTTGGTACCAACAAAAGGCACCTCATGGCTGTGAAACTTCCTCCAGGTTAATCAGAGTTTTCTTGCTGTAGATGAGTCCTGATCATGATATTCTTCTCAAGTTTCCAGTTCAGCCTCCTGGGCTCATCCAGAGTTTTTCAGGCTCCTGAAGAGCAAGTCTGGAATCAATGCAGGCAGCTCAGAGAGTGGTAAAGCTTCTTATACTCCATGCTGTATTTTACTCCTTGATTTTCCCCTTTGGCAAAACTCCTCAGAGTTATGAAATTCACACTTTTCCCTCTACTCTGCTTCACATGTAACACCATAAATCCACAACACCCAGAAATGCACTAAGATCTCAACTCCAAGGCAACCCCATTTCAGTTCAGGAACTTGGCCCAGGTCAGCATCTCCAATAAATTTCCTTTACCAAACAAGCACAAACACATTGTTCAGCTCAAATCCCAATGCTGGCCGTGTAGCCAGGCTGACGTTGCTCGTTCCCTGGAGTTCAGGGAAATAAAGCTCCTTCAGATCCCAACATGAGCACGGCCACTGGAGAGCAGCCCACCACTGTGACATTTGAATCTGAAAATCTGCGGGGCTTAGGTCATAACAGAACCACCTCCTCCTCCCTGGCTACTCCAGCAAACCTCTCCCTTTTACTCATTGGTAACCAGCTTTGTGTTTATAAAGCAATAGTAAACATTGTTAGCCATTGTCAAGGCAGAAAATAATAACAAAAACAATAATAATAAATCTTAAAAGCAGGGTCAGAGTTTCAGCCACTTATCTGGAAAAACAGATAAGGACTTTTGAAGTTGCCATAACAATCACGCTGTGGGTAAAACTCCCAGTGAATCTGGTGGCATGAGGTGATCACTATCCAAGCAGGGGGCAATCCAAGATCCCCTTTGTGGAGCCAGTGAAAACAAAAATTCAGAAGCCCTTAATCTGGCTGCTCCAGCCAGACCTCCTCGAGTGTGCTCACAGAGCCCAACCAGTTCCACCACAGAGCTCCGTTGTCATCCAGCTCCGTCTGCTTTTCCTCCGAAAGCACAGTCCACATCTGCAAAGTGACAAAGTCAGCGTTTACACTTGTCCCAACTATTTGGCGTATTTTGAATTTTTGAGGATTAATTTCGTGAACAGTCAGCGCTGTTTGGCTGCAACGCAGACAAAATCCTTCGGCCTATGAGTACAAGTCTGTTTGCAATTTTGAGGGGAACACTAAAAGATCCGTCTGCTTAGTTTGAAAGGAAACCTGAAAGTAATATACTTCATTTTTCTTCTCCGTCTAGGATATGGACTCTTTCTTTTAGTTATCTGTGTGGAATCATGGAATGGGTTGGATTGGAAGGGACTTAAAGATCCCATTCAATCCCTGCCATGGTAGAGACACCTTCCACTGTCCCAGGCTGCTCCGAGCCCCATCCAGCCTGGCTTTGGGCACTGCCAGGGATCCAGAGGCAGCCAAAATTCTGGGAATTCCAGCCCAGCCAGGAATTCCCAATTCCCAATGTCCCATCCATCCCTGCTCTCTGGGATTCCCTGGGTCCTGTCCCTCCATCCCTTGTCCCCAGTCCCTCTGCAGCCATTTACCCTCCCTTGGATGAGAACCAAGTGCTTTCTCTTCCTCAACACGACTAACACCACTTCCTCAACGCCACTGAAACCCAAGTGGGTTGATTTTTTTCCAGAAACCTCTTTAGAGGTCACATTTCGGTGACAAGCCGACACTCGGTTATCCAGAATTCTTCTACACGTTAATTTCTTGGAATGCGGCATCTCCATGCGCAAGGGCTCTTTCTGTCCGGGGCGCTTTTTGTCACAGAAATAAGCCATATTCCTTATAATACACCACGTAATCCCAGAGAATTACAAGTAAATAAATAAATAAACACACAGACAAACTCAGCAGAGTCCGCTAAGTTTGTGTTATTTGATTTCACAGCCGGGACGGGCGAGCAGCGGCTCCGCCGTGAGACGATGACCGCCCTCACGCCCGCCCTCAGGGCGCTGCCCCAGCGCCCTTTCCCCGCCTCTTCCCGGGGAAAAAACAGGGATTTCCCCGTTTTCTCCACATTTGTGCCCGTTAGCCTCATCAGGGCTCGGCTGAGGGGCGGCTCCTCCCTCAGCCCACTCGGACAGAGCCAGACACACCCCGGTACCCCGGCGGCTCCCCGGTGTGTGAGGGGGCCGGCCGGCCTCCAGCCCCTCCCTCCCCCGGGCCGGGAAGCGAAAGCGAAAGGCGGCCCCGAGCCGGCTCCGGAGGTTTTGAGGAGCCGCCGGCAGCTGCAGCAGCCCCGGCCGTGCCCCCAGCCCGTCCCGGCCGTGCTCCATAGCCCGTCCCGGCCGTGCCCGCCGGGAGCCGAGCGGTGAGGGAGGCCTCAGGTCCCTTGGAGGAGTCGTGGATAAACCAAAGAACAACTATTGTTCATTTCTGCTTTCACTTTCCTTTTTTTCGTCCACAGAAAACTGTACAGAAGTGTCTGAATTTTCGCTGCCCGATCCAAACCAGAAAGGGATTCCGGGCTCCAAAACCTCAGTTTCAAGCCTCTGAGTGAGAGCGGTGTCGGCTCAGAATCAAGGCGAGGATTCCCAGGTGAGAGGGTCAGAACTGCCTGGATGGATCGGGAATTTGGGCTGCTCCCGCTGGGATTTCAAGGTCAGGCTGTGGAGTATCCAACTGTGAAAAACGCCAATCGCTTGTTTTTAAAATTTTAGAAGTTTAGTAGTAGTAAAATGGTTATAAAAATAGTAATACAATTAGATTAATAATAATTTGGACAATTTGAATTAGGACAATAACGAGACAATAGAAACAAAGAGTTATGGACGTCTGGGTACCTTTTTCTGGGCAGCATAAGCCTGAAAGAAGCACACATTAACAGAGGATTAACCCTTAAAAACAATAACCTGTTGCATATTCATACATCTTATACATGATGCATAAATTCCATTCAAACACAGGATTGTGTCTGATCAGTGTCAACTTCTTCCTCTGGATCCTAAAGGCATCATCTGCCCGAGCGAGGCAGGAAGAAGTTTTTTTCCTGATAATGGAGCAATAAATTCTCTTTCTCTGAAAGATTCAGGTGTCCTGTGGCTGCTATCTCACTACAAGTCCTTTCTTTAGAAAAAACTATCCTCCATAGCATAGTTTCTATTTTAACATTTTGTTACACTCTAAAACTATATTTAACACACTACTTAAGAGAATTAATACAGCATTACTTTCTAACACAACACGTGTAATATTCATTTTAATATTTGTGAAAATTATTGTGAAAATATTTGTGAAAAAGGAGGCTTCAGATATGCAGTATCTGTCACTTTTGCATATGGAATTACACATTTATGTTTAAAAATTCTTTCAGCTTAGCACAGCTTGTGGTATTCCTGATATCAGTTGCATAAAAAATACACACAATGTCGTAATTTTTTTTCCTGGTCCCTCAGGTTTCCATGGATTTTACCAGCCCTCCATTATCTCTCCAAGACAATGGTTTTGTAAGTATTTCCTGATGTGCTGCCTGGGAGTGAAATCTGTATTTGACTTTCGTATCTCTGGCTGGAGGTTTGTGCTCCCACTGTTTCTGCTTGTCTCACCTTCTTCCACCCTTTAACACTTGGGACATTCCCCATTTCCACCTCCTGTTTCCATGGGGAGAATCCCATTCCCAAGGCTCTGCATCGCAGATTTTCCCAGAACTTTCTGTCCTGCCTCTCTTGCTCCTCTGTCTTTGTGGAGGATTCCAGGGGAATTTCCCTTTTCCTGGGATTCAGCTCCAGCAGTGCACAAGTGGTTTGGATGGGACTTTCCCTGGCCTTTCTTTTGTTTTCTTGGTTATTTTTTTCCTTCTTTCAGTATGTGTGAAACCATTCTTTTAGTAAAAAATATTTTTTTTTTAATCTTCCAGCTGTTGGCATGTGCATCCTTTTTATTCCCTGCACTCGGTCCCTGGAGTGAAGGAATATTTTTCCCATTGTAACTGACACAGATGGATATTTCCTTCTTGCTTAATTTGAAACTGGAAGAAATACTTTCTATTTTATTATTTTTAGGAAATACCCAGCATTATCAAGAGAACTGACAAGATCATCTAATTCAGATATTTTCCATAAATTATCTAATTTAGATCTTTTGCTATTTCTAAATTTCATGGTTCCCATTCAAGCTTTATGTAATCTTGAGTAAAAAGGGAGAGAATATTTCAGCAGATCTTTTTGGATTTTTTTTTTTCCTGCAGAACATTGCAGCCATAGAAACAAATCAGAACAGAGATTTTCCCTTGCTTTGGGCTTTGTAGTTTCCCTGCCCCTGTGAACTTGTGCCCTGAATTTCAATTCTGAAATGGTTCTTTTATCACCTTCCTTGATATTACCTTTTATTATCCAATCTCCCTGAGCTTGGAAGATCAAAATCCCATTTTCACTTTTATTTTTTTTTATTGACACCTCCTCCTGGAGGAACTGCTGAGAAAGCACAGAGCTAAACATTTATGGGTTTGAGGGGCTTAGTTCTGTGTGGAAGAACATGGAGACAGCTTGATTTATTATTTAGCTAAATATTCACCTGTACATTAGCAGCAGTTAGATAATTAGCAAATAATAATGGCTGGCCACTAATTCACAATTTCACAGATTTTTGTCCTGTCCAGCCATTAAAATAATTCAACAATTTGACCTAAGTGAATGATGTTTTAAAATTTTTTTTTTGGTTAAGCTTTTTAATTTTTTAAAGATTGTTTTGGAATTGTTTGGGGTGTCTCAGCTGTTGGCCAGGAGAGGAGAAAACCAATATGTTCCTCTTCTCTCTGCAGAGTATGGTACCCACTGATCCACTTGGGACACCCCTGGAAGAGATTGAAAAACTCAAGGAAGAGCTGAGGATGTGGAAGGCAAGTTCTGTACATGGAATCATGGAGATTTGCTAAAATACAAAGATTGGTGCATCCTTCTAAAATCAGATCAAACCCCCCACATTTATAACACCTTTAATTTGTTCTGCTCTTCCATGCTTTGTGCTTGTGTTGATGGCACTCTTGTGAGTTGAATATTTACCCAAAGTGTTAAAAATTAATAACTGCAAAGGGCTTACTCAAGCTTTTGTTCGTTCCTCTAGAAATAAACCTTTAAAAAACTTAAAATCTTCTTCTTTTTGCTCTCCAGATAAGACTTGAAGATGCTGGGAAGGTAAAAGCTGACCTGTTTCACTCCAAACTAGCAGCAGAGGCAGAGTGCGGCAGAGCAGAGAAGCAGCTGGCAGAGCTGAAGGAGCAGGAGAGGCAGAGGAAGGACAGAATCACCAGCTGTGAGGTGTGCAGGGGGCTGGAGGTGTTTGCAGGGCTGGGAGGGAGCTGGGGCTGGCAAAATGGGAGAACATTCCCAGTTTCACTGGCTGACCAGTGTGCAGCTGTGCTGCTCGGGTGTTCCACGTGTTTTTTGCTGCACTTCAGTTTTTCACCGGCAGGCAAAGGGACTGCAATAAACTGGATCTGTTTTGGGGTGAAACCTGCCAAAAGCAGCCTTGCTCTTCCAAGGTTCTCCCCTGTGGATGAGTTTCAGGTCTGGGTGAAGGGGATGAAGCCCAGTGGGATGATGCCACTGCTTTGCCAGCTCCCTGCTCTGCACCCAAAGGATCAGCATTTCTTAGGTGCCAGTGAGCTGGGCAAGAGCCAGGGCCTGTCTGAAGAGGGATTTTCCTTCTAGAACTGCTGGTTCCAGAACCCCTTGGTTCATTCCCTCGATATTCCACGGGCAGGAACAGCAGAAGGTCCCACAGGCTGCCAAGGAGGTGCTTCCAGTGAGCTTTGGTGGATCACTGATGAGAAATTACAGCTTTAAGCCATTACAATATAATTAATAGCTTAAACACGCTCAGGTTGAGGGGAGATTTTCTGAAAGCTGATTTTTGGTTCTTTAATCACAAAAGTTTGGATTTGTACCCAGGAAAGGTCATGATCACCATGTGGCTTTGGCCTTCAGCTGATGGGAAGTGCTCCAAGTGTCTGCAGTGGTTGGTGACTTCCCAGGAGCCACCACGTGATGGTGGAAGAAGGTGACAACATCTGACAACATCTGCTCTGCTTCCTTCTCATCCTCTCACATTCCCTGTCCAGGAAATCCTGGATTTGCTCCCAGAGCTTTGTGTCCAAGCAGGATTCCTTGTTCTGGAGGAATTACGGAGCAGACAGGAGGAAGGAGAAGGACACGAAGAGGGAAGAGCAGCAGCATGGCAGAAACTGCCCAGATGTTGCTGAACTATATTTCTGTCTTTATTTAAGTGTTTAACTCTGCATTTCATCTTTTTGGCCTGTAGCAGGAACTCTTGCTGCTAAAGCAAGAAAACTCTGAGCTGAAAAAGGAGATGGAAAAGCTCAAAGAAGACCTGGAAGAACACAGTTCCCAGGATAATCCGGTAAAGGAGGTGGAATGTTTGGAAACTGGTCTTTTAGGAGAGCAGATTTTTATTTTCAGAGAATGGTTTGGGTTGGAAGGGACCTTAAATCCCATCTCATTCCAACCCCAGGGACACCTCCCACTGTCCCCAAGCCCTGTCCAAGCTGGCCTGGGACACTTCCAGGGACCCAGGGGCAGCTGCTGTGGGAAACCTGAGCCTCCCCCCTGAATCTGTCCCTCTAAAGGCTGCTGGGCCACTTGTTCAGCATTTGAACCTCTACTAATTTCAGTATGAAATAAACCTGAAAGTGTCTTGTTTTTCCTGGCAAGCCAGTTTGAAGCAGGGAGAGGACGTGGAAATAAATCCAAGAGGTACTGGAAGTGTGAGAGGAATGGAAGCAAGCAGACGTTGATTCAATGGGAGGCAGTGGAATCAAAAAATATTCATAGCATTGGTAATATTCAAGTTTTCTTTTTTTGTGTCAATTCTAAAGTTGGAGGTTAAAAAGAAGGTGGCAGAAATGCAATTGAAGTTCACTCACCTGGAAGAGATGAAGGATGGTGGGGCAGATGAGGATATGGACACCCACTGTGTCTTTGGGGTGGCCACAAAAACCCCCTTCAGACTCAACCAGAACCAGGCACTGCTGACTTTTGAAGATGAGGAAGGTAGGATGTGTATTTTAATTATAAAATTAATGTCTCTGATGTATTTCACCTGGTAGTGGTGGGGTTTTCCCCCAAGGGTGTTTTGAATGGAACAGGAAAAAATCTTACAATATTTTATACAATAAGAGCATCTTTCATCAATTTAAAAGTTCTACTAGTCCCACTCAAAATTTATTTTTATATGTAGAATTAATAATATATTTGCTCTATTTATTGTATATTATTTTAATAACATTGTTTATTGTTAATTGTTATTATTAAGGGTGATATAATATTTTGTTATTGTATTATTTGGCTTACATAAAACCACAGAGATTTTATGGAAGTAGACATGGATGCTTGGGATCTGGTTGCCTAATTATTATTTATTTCTCCTTTACTGATGCAAAAGGAGATTTTTTAAGAGACTGGGGAATAATTTGGGGTTTATAATGATTAAACAAAGCTTTTCATATCTGAATTCTCTCAGTTGCCCAGAGGCTGACAAAGATGAGCAAGCACTGTGTGAACCTGGACAACAGAACAGCAAATGTGACAGTGAAGCCTTTTGAACTTGACATGGGATTCCAGTTTGAGGTAAACAGCTGAAATATGCAACTCTCAAAATCTGAGCTCTTTAAAAGCCTTAGGGTCTTTTTTTTTCAGTGTTTTCGGTCACAAAGTGCACAAAAATTTGATGTTTTTAGCTCCACGTCACTGTGTCTGGAAAGAAGATCAACATTTCAGACATACCTGAGCTTCCCATTCCTGAAGAGTGGATGAGAGACAAACTTGAGCTGCATTTCTACAAAACTGAGCAGGCAGAAGGAGGAGGAGAAATAGAAGAAGTGACCTACAACAGGGGGTCTGGGACAGGTGTCATCACATTCCTCAAGCCTGGAGGTAGAGTCTGGAATATTTTCTTATCCAAATCCAATATTTTCTTGTCCAAATCCATCAAGTCCATCCTGGCTTCCATTCTGGGGTCGCCACTGAGTGTTGCAAACTCTTCCCACAGGGAGCTGATGGATCCCCCAGGGATGTGGGGAAATAAAGCAGTTTTTCATCACATCCTTTTGGAGCAGACACAACCTGCTCACAGTTCATGAGCTTTCTTTCACAACTTTTCCTAAAAAAACCCTGATTTTTTCCCTCTGCCTTGCCAGACACTCATTCTGCAAACAGCAAATCAGGAAGATGAGTTTGATTTTAGGTCCTGCTGCAGGACAGTGCACTTGGACAGGCATTTCTGGTGCCCAGCTGGATGGAATTCCATGATCAATTCCTCATCCACTTGGAGCAGCTGCTTTAGATTTATTTCAGAGCTTTGTGGGCATTTCATGATTTTGCTTTTTGTTTTGGAAGTGCCAAATAAACTTCTTGCAGAATGCACATAAAGAATCTACAGGTGTGCCATCCTACATTAGTTGGGTGAGCTTGGTCATTGAAATGTTTATAAAATACTGGTTAAATTATATTAAATAATTAACTGGTTTTTTTTAATTCTCTTACAGCAAGCTACAACTTTGTGGGATGCACTAAATACCCTTTCTGTGCAGAGGAAAGGTGGTTCATCATTTCTGTCTCACCACATTTTGATTTCCACTTGATGAAGTTTCAGGTAAAAGAATCTACTCCAGGCTGATAGAACAGATAAGTGGGAAATAGGAGGAGGGGCAGAATTTTCACTCCTTTGTGTGAACTTCACAGCCAGTGTGGGTGTGAAATGGGCTGTTGAGTTCATGTGAAGCTGCAATTTATTTTTAAAGGGTGTGCTTGTGTTTCCTTGATGGAATTATCTCAGCACTCCCCCATGGCTGTGCTGCGCTGTTTGGGAAGGAGCTAAAGCACAAAGCTCTGCCAGGATTGTAGTGTAAATCCAGACCCTTCATGGCAGTGTGAATCCAGAGTTCCAGACCCTACATTGTAGTGTAAATCCAGACCCTTCATGGCAGTGTGAATCCAGAGTTCCAGACCCTTCATTGTGTAAATCCAGACCCTTCATGGCAGTGTGAATCCAGAGTTCCAGACCCTACATTGTAGTGTAAATCCAGACCCTTCATGGCAGTGTGAATCCAGAGTTCCAGACCCTACATTGTGTAAATCCAGAATTCCAGACCCTTCATGGCAGTGTGAATCCAGAGTTCCAGACCCTTCATTGTGTAAATCCAGAATTCCAGACCCTTCATGGCAGTGTGAATCCAGAATTCCAGACCCTTCATGGCAGTGTGAATCCAGAGTTCTGCTCTTCCCAGAGAAATTCCCACTATCTAAAGTTTTCCCCTCATCAAAGATCCCAGCCCCACCTGAGCAAGGAATTCAATTCCCATCTCTCCCAGTTCCCTTGAGTGCACAGCTGCAATATAATCCAGGTTTGTTTTTCCTCCCCAGTCACACTGCAGGGTTTCCAAGAAAACCATTCTGCTGAAAGGAGTCCCAGAGGTGGAAGAGGACGAAGAAAGTGTGCAGGACATGATTGAAATTCACTTCCAAAAGCCAAGCAATGGTGGGGGGGAGATAGAGAAAATCAAATACCTCTCCAAAGGAGCAGCCTATGTTTGCTTTGAGGAGGACACGGAGAATGCCAGCTCAGGAACCACGGAGGACTGATGAAGTTTCAGGGATTTCTGTAGATATTGTGCTTTAATGCTCTGAGATTGATACTGTAGCAAAGGAATCCCTGCCTTCCTGCCTTGTCTCGTGGCTCTGGCTTTGCACAGGGAGTCAGCAAAGCTCCCTGCCTGTGTTACACGTGAAAGGCACCGACCCAGCCTTCAGCAGCCCCTGAGACAGCTCACATTTTCTGCAACTTTGTATATTTTATACCTTGCACAGTTAAAAATACTCCAGAGTGGGATGAATGGATTATTTCTTATGTTCTGGATGCAAAAGCCATATTTAATTTAATCCAAATCCAAGCCTCCTCCCAGTCCTGCTTTAAGTGCCAGAGTTTCAGAAGGTGGCTCTGACACAGCTCCAGTGCTGCTGAGGTTGCTGAGTGCCACCAGAACTCAAACACCTGAAAGCATCCTGTAATTTCATAAAAGCCACCTTATCAAATCAGTGATAGAATTAAAATAGAAAATGGGAAGAATAGAATAGAATTAAAATAGAAATTAAAATAGATAGATAGAATTAAAATAGAGAAAAACAAGAAATTGCACTTAAGAAATGCCCTGGCATCTGCTGCCTTTAGCTGTTTGTAGCCTGCTTTATTGTTTGATTTTAATATTTGTTTCTGCAATTCAATTTTCCTACTTTTTGTTCATGATTTTGGTTATTTTAAACAATTTCAGCCAAGGATTGAGCTGGTGCTGTACCTGGTTTTGTAACAGTGCTGCTGAACAGCCCTGAGGGATCTGGTGATTGGAGAGAGTGATTTTCCAACAAGGAATGTTTTTCCTTTTTTTGCTCTCATCCTTGGAAAACAAATCCTCCTCTGACTTTGCAGTTTTGCCATCCTTGGGGGCTGAAATGGTTTGGCCCTAATAGTCTTGTCTCCAAACTAACATGAGCCTGACTTTGGAAATAATTTCATTTTGGGGTATTTGACATCTTGATGTGCAGGGAAAGGAGAGGGAATACCTCAGGGATTATTATTCCAGACAAACTGTTAACTGGCAATGGATAAAAGTTGAATATGGAAAGTTAAAAGGCTGCAAACACCAGAGTTTATTTTGAATTTGCTGTTGAGTGAGATCCATGTGACTGTAGCACCTCTCACTGTTTAGGGCATGCAAAGGCAGGGTTTGATTACCTGACCACTGGAAAATAATAATAATTACTTCAAACAAAATAGTGCTGAAGAATTTACAGAAATTGTGCACTTTTGCACTCTCAAAAACATGGTAAGACCAGACACCTTAAAAAGAGAGGGGGAAAAAACTGAGGAAGGTAAAAAATGTCATGAATTTCAACTGTATCTCACTGATAAATTTTGACAAGTAAATCATTAAAAAGGAAAAAGCTTAAAATTCTCATAAGGTGTGACTCATGAGGAGTAGTGAGAAGTTGCAGGTTTTAAAGCCCAGAAAACCAGATTTTTACACTTTAAAGACAATGTCTGTAAATGTCTTGCCTTTGTCTCTGATGAATTATAGCTTGTAATGATTACCCTGTTAAATTTTAAAGCAGCAATGGTGCTTTAAAGGCTGGAGACTGGTTTTAATGATGAAAAATAAGAATAAAGTGTCAGTGATGTGTCTATAAATGTCAATATCCTTTTTTCCTCCCTGCTGGTGTGCCTTTCTCTCGGGGCTGGGTGGTTTTTATTCCCAGATTACACACAGGGACATTTCCCAGCTGCAGTGTTCACCCCAACATTGCTGTCTAGCCAAACCCGGGGCTCTTTGGAGCCAGGGGAGCTGCGCAAGTGCAGCCTTTGGGGTGCCAGGGGGGTGTCCCTGGCCATGTGGGACAGGGGGAAGGAATTCCTGCCTGGGAGGGTGGGCAGGGCCTGGCACAGGGTGCCCAGAGCAGCTGGGGCTGCCCTACATCCCTGGAAATGTTCGCTGTCCGTGCATGTCCCTGTCCATGCATGTCCCTCTCCACTCCTGTCCTGCTCCACGTGTGTCCCTGTGTGTCTGTCCCTGTCCACGCCTGTCCTTCTCCATTTGTGTCCCTGTGTGTCCTTCTCCCTTGTGTCCTTCTCCATGGGCATCCTTGTCCATGTATATGTCCCTGTGTGTCCCTCTCCATGTGTATCTCTCCATGCGTGTCCCTCTCCATACCTGTCCTTCTCCATGTTTGCCCCTCTCCACGTGTGTCCCTGTCCCTCTCCATGCATGTCCCTCTCTCTGTGTGTCCCTGTCCCTGTATATGTCCCTCTGTGTGTCCCTGTCCCTCTCCATGCACGCCCTTCTCCCTTGTTCCTCTCCATGTGTGTTCTTGTCCATGTATATGTTCACGTCCCTGTCCCTGCCTGTCCCTCTCCCTGTGTGTGTCCCTCTCCCTGTGTGTCCCTGTCCCTCCCTATGCACGCCCTTCTCGCTTGTTCCTCTCCACGTGCGTTCTTGTCCGTGTATGTGTCCAAGTCTCCGCATGTCCCTGTCCCTGCCTGCCCCTGTCCCTGCCTGCCCCTGTCCCTGTGTGTCCCTGCCCATACCCCGGTTCCCGTTCCCCCCGCAGTTCCAGCCGGGCAGGGCGGGCCGGGCCGCGCGGTCCCCGCCGGGCTGGGGGCGGCCTCAGGGGCGGCCCCGCCGCTTCCCCGCCGCTTTCGCTTTCGTTTCCCGCCGGGCCCGCTCGTTCCGCGCCCTTCCCGCCGAGATCCCGTCCCCGTGGGATCCCAGTCCCGGTGGGATCCTCGTCCCGGTGGGATCCTGTCCCGGTGGGATCCTCGTCCCGTTGCGATCCCGTCCCGTTGGAGCGGCCATGGCAAGTGCCGGGGCCGGGGGGGAGCGGGGGCCGCGCACCGCGAGGGGCAGGGCCGGGAGGGGCTGAGGGGAAAGCGCTGGAAAAGGAGCTGGGGACGGGCTGGGGACAAGGGATGGAGGGACAGGAGCCAGGGAATGGCTCCCAGTGCCAGAGGGCAGGGATGGATGGGACGTTGGGAGTTGGGAATTCCTGGCTGGGCTGGGATTCCCAGAGCAGCTGTGGCTGCCTCCGGATCCCTGGCAGTGCCGAAGGCCAGGCTGGACATGGGGGCTTAGAGCAGCTTGGGACAGTGGAAGGTGTCTTTGCCCATGGCAGGGCTGGATTGGGATGAGCTTTAAGGTCCCTCCCAACCCAAATCAGGCTGGGATTTGCCATGGAGCGCCAGCAGGACCCGTTGTCAGCAGAGCTGCTGCTCCATCCCTCCATCCCGGCCCATTCCCGGCCCATTCCTTCCCCATTCGCGGCCCATTCGCGGCCCCTCCCGCAGCGCCCATCCCTGCCTGGGAGCAGCTGCTCGGCACAGACGCGTCTGGGGAGTGATTCAGCACAATCCGTGTGTTCTTGGGTTGCTTTTTTTCCCCTAACCCCACTAGCAGGCCCGAGTGTTGCTCCCAAACACCAGCTGGGAAGGTGTGAGGGCTGTCTGGCAGCCGAGCCGAGCTCCGGCTGTGCCAGGCGTGAGAAAATCCCCGTCTGCATTCCCTCCGTGCCGCCTCTCGCACGGGCCTCACCGCCTGCTTAATTGGCTGCTGTCATTAATTAAAAGCTCCTGGCGCTCGGAATTCCATGGAGCCTCTCGCTGGGTTTGCCCCCAGAGCCGTGGTGGTGTCCAGGATTGTGGGCAGGCATCGCTCCCTCAGCAGCACCTGCTGGAGCTGCGATCCTGTCCTAGGCAGCCCAGGAAAAAAACAACTTAAGAGAAGTTTAAATCTTAAAAGAAGTTTAAATCTTAAGAGGAGTTTAAAGAATTCAGATGTAGTGACTGGCCTCAAGTGCAGTTACTGACAGCTCGTTCCCACAAATTTGTCTGCTTTTTTCCGAAAAGTCAGTGAAGTGATAAATGTAGTCAGTGCTCCACAATGTGCAGTGATATCGAATATCAGAATCACAGGAAACCACCTTACCAGGTTCAGTTTCTCACCTCCCAGGTGGGAAACTGAAATTTAGGGCTCATTGTTCCTGCTTTAAGAAGATGCTGAGAGGGTTTAAAAGGCTGAGATCCCGAATTTAACAAGGAATCTGCCCCTTCCACTCTGCAGGGAATCAATCCCTGCTGAACATCACATGCAGTTACAATTTTTTATTTTGATGTTAAATATCAGAATCAGAGGAAACCACGTTACCAGTGGGATGTTCCAGCTGAGAAACTTAAATTTAATGTTCATTTTTGCTGTTTTGAGAAGAGGGTTTAAATGGCATTTAAAACCATTTTTTAATGCAGGTGCCTGAGGCAGCGTGGCAGGCACTGAGATCTGATTGGGCAGGATTAATTAACCCCTAAATGCACATTGCAAAGGCTCCTAAAACAACTGAGAAACTGAAAAAAACCAAAACAAAGCAAAGAAGAAAAAGAGACTGTAATTCATACCATTCACACCTAAAGCCTGAATTTTAGCTGTTTTGAAAATGAACTTGTCTCGTTACATGGAAGCAACAATATTTATTTATATAATATATTTTATAATATATAATATATAGTATATAATATATATTATATATATTTATATAATTTATACATAATATAATATAATATATAATAATATATAATATAATAATAATTATTGTAATATTTTAGTATATGTTATTATATATAAGATATAGTTATATATAAAATAATACATTATAATAAAATATAGTATAATAAAATATATAATATTATATAAAATATAATATATTATATATCATATATTATATATTCTATGTTATATATTATATATTATAAAATATAATATGTAATATATTTTAATATGTATACAATTCATATCTATAAATTATTATATATAATGTTTTTTATATACTAATGATATTATAGAATATATATTAATGATAATAATGTATATAATATATTATTCTGTATTATATCTTCTATATATTATATATATAAAGCAAGGAATTATATATAGAAATTATATATTATATATATTATTTTATATATTGTATATTATAATATATATTAATTATATAATAATTATATAATGTATAATATTTATATTTTATATATTATATATATTATATAT